GCGGCGCCGCGGCCCCATGGGCCGAGGCGCCACTCGGCGCAGGCAGAGCAGGGGCTGGGGGCGGCTCCGTCGTTTGGTGCGGCCGCCCCCTCGGCCTGCTGCCCTGCCCCGGGGGTGCTTCCGCCGGGCTGAAGGGGGGGCAGCTGCGCCTGCCCCGTCCGCGGCTGCTGGCGCGGCTTTCGGTCCTGCCCTGGACTTTGTTCGGATGACTCCTGCCCCTGCTCATCTCCACGCTTGCCGGCTGCAGCCGTGCCTGCGGCGGGCGACCCGCGCGTGCTTCTGCTGTTCGCGCTGCGTGTGCCCGCACGCGCCTTGCTGGTCTTGGCGCCCGCCATCCCAGGACCGGCGGGGCCTGGGTATGATTGAGAGGAATTGAACTTACTTCGATTGCCGTGGAGTAGCGTGCGCTTGATCGCCGACTGCGATACATCCGGACTTGGCGCGACTGTGCTGAGTTTCGCAGCAGGCCGCCAAGCCTCGTTCGATCGCCTGATTTGAAGCTTCAATTTACCTGTTGTTCTTGAAGAGCTGACAAGAGCACCGCAACCTTGATCAGGCGATTAGCAACAATGCACAGGATGCTGTTCACGAACCGCTCATAATAAGCCAGGTACACTATTACGGGAAATCCACATACAGCACTGGACCCAGACGAAAGTTTGGACCTTCCGAGTAGCGGGTAGCATCATTTGGTGCTCAGTCTGCTGCTGCCCAACGCCTGTGCTTGTCAAGAACAAATATCCCGTTTGAAGAGGAAGGGTGATTCGTGACTTACCTTTCTGCGGGGGGGGGGGGGAGCCAAGTTCGACAGTTTCAAAGCGGTCAGCACTGGTGCCCAGGGCGAAGCTGTGACCAAGCCGCCGTTCCCCCGGGCGACAAGAGCAGGGGGAAGTGGGAGCGATTAGCACTCCAGGCCTGTGCCGTCCATGAGCGAGTGCTTTGGTCACTGATGAAAAGCTGCTAGGCGTTACAAGCGGCTGGGGCACTGCCGATGGCATGCGCGCCCATCGCACAAGGGTGCCCGCGTGCGCCCAACACCCGGGCCCGCGGGAGCCCTTGGAAACACAAAACACACACATGCACGCACGCGCGTGCATAGCCAGTCACATGCGCCAAAGGTGGGGCACCGAAAGACTCATGAGCCACAGAAACTAGCTGGAGGGCCGGCTATGCAAGTGTCATGCAGTATCACGGCGCAGGCCCGCAGTTCCCCAAACTAAAGGGAACTAAAGGGAACAAGGAAACCCGAATCCAATACAAGATATCGTTCGTGGCCGGTCACGTGCGACATGGGTTTGTGGTTGCGCACTGACCAGCAGCACAAACACAGATCGGCCCGACTGCGCGCACAGTGACTCTGACGCATGCGCAGCACCTGTGGCGACGCCGCCCACGTGGGTGGTGGGCTGCCTGATTCGGCAACGGCAGCCTGCACTCTGAGACGAGAGGAGGGGGTGTGCCCTAGCCGCGCGGTGTCGGCCCTCCCAGACAAAGATGCAAAATGGGTAACACCAGGGGCACCAAGGGGATAGGCAATGAGGAACCATCTTCGGCACTCCACTTGAGACTAGATTTTGCACCAGCAGGCCGCCCTGCTGCTGCCATTGCAGCTGCGACTCAAGAGTGGTTGGTGCTGATAGCAGGGCACCCATGGTGTGACGGCGTGGCGGCATCACGCTCTCGACATGAGGTTTGCCATCTGGTCAAGCGCTATGCACCACATGCGCTCACCACCCACACAATTTTCATACCCCGCGTAAAGGAAGAACATCGAAGCATGGAGGTCACCAGACACAGCCAGACGGTCATACGCATGGCCGGCGGTCAAACGAGCACAGGCCAGACAGTCAGCAGCAGCGCCAGAGGGGCGCTTGCATGCGTAAAGATCTCAGCAGGCTCCTCAAACAAACTCACTGGGCAGAAAGCCGTAGCAGGCCGGCGTGCCGCAGGCGCACGGCGTGAACGCATGCTGCCGCCCGCCCGCCGCCGCACCCGCGCCACGCGCCCGGTCCGCGGCGCCCGCGGCGCCGCCGCCCGCTGGCGCGGCCGCCTTGCTGCGGCCGCAGTAGCTGAAGGTGAGCTCCTCGCCAGGCGCTATGTCCCGCGCCGCAAACAGCGCCACGCGCGGCAGCAGCTCCCCTGCAGGGGCGGCCGAGGGGCGCACGACAGGGAGGGGGGCATGAGCGTGGCGTGGGCAGGGCGCATGTGCGACCCCATGCCGTGCAATGGCGGCCGCACCCGCACAAGCTCAGGCCACCTCCATCTTTATACGGTAGTCATTCTCTCATTTGAAAAAGCTGCTGAGGAGTTGATGGATTCATGAGAGCTGTCGGACCCTCACCCTTGGCCATCACCAGCACGGCCTCCAGGTTCCCGCCGTCGCAGCTGTGGTTGACGAATCGCGCCACGTTCCCCCGCCGCGTCGCGTCGATGTTCAGCCGCAGCGCGCTCGTCGCGCTCGGCAGCACGACACGCGCGACGAGCAGCGCGTGGCCCGCGCCGGCGGCGTCGTACGCGGCGAGGCGGGCGCGCGCGTCGCTGGTGTTGAGGTACTCCCCGGTGTAGTCGCAGACAAAGGCGCCCCGGGGCAGCGGCTCCAGCGCACGCACGCCCCAGCCCTAAGGGGCGGGGGCGGCAGGCAGGCGCCGCAAGGGGGGATCGGCGGACGCGGACGCCGATGCGTGGCTTGGAGCGGACGAGATAATCGGCGGCAGTGAGAGGGGCCGCTGCTTTGCCGACCGCCGCTCGCTTCACAGCAAGGCAAGATGCAGCGGGGCGAACGGGGCGAACGGGCTGCTGCGTGCCCATGCTCCATATGCGCAGCCCCACCTTGCCTGGGACGGGCGCGACGGCTAGCCGCACGCGCACGCCGCGCTGCGTGGTGCGTGCAAGGCAGCCGCCCGCGCCGCTGCCGTGCCTGCACGCGCAGGCCGGGCCGCACTCCAGGAGCGCCAGCACCGACTCGGCTGCGTGGGGCGACTCCTTGGGAGGTTTTGACAGGGGTTGCAGAGAAAGTTCGGCCCTGCGTCTGAACTCCATAAAACTGGGGATCGCTAGAGCGAGAGCGTTTCGGACACGCTGGTTGCTTCGCCGCCCGCAGCGGCGTGCGGCGCCGCCGCCGCACAGGTTTCGCTGATCCCTCCTACCTGCTGGTTTTGGTTTTGGGGTTGCTCCTCATGTGTCCCTGCCCTCACGATCTACAGTGAGCCCCTAGGCACCAGGCAGCACAAGCAACCCTCCCACCCCAGCGCACCAGCGCCGCCGTGCCGATTCGGTGCGCAGTCACGCATGGGCAGCCCTCGCCGCACCCGTCCCTGCAGGCGAGAGATTTGCCATGTGTCATCGCACCGACGCAGCGGCCGCTTCGGAGCTACCATGCAGCCCAGGGCGAAAAACCTGCTATCCACTCACGTGCAAGAGCACCCTCCGCGGGCGTCGACCGCGTTGGGCGGCAGCGGCGTCTGCTGCAAATACTCAAATGGCGGCGGGCCGAGGGTGGAGCCTCCCGCTGGCAGTGCGCCGCCAGCGGCAGCAGGTTCGCCTGCTGCTGGTGCAAGTCCCAAGATCTGCACGGGCGTTGGCTCCTGAAATGACATGGCCAGTGACTCCTTTGCACCGTGCATCTACAGCACAGGACTGTACGCCCCGTTGATGCACAAGGCTGGGCTCAGCGACACACGTCCTGGCAGTTAATATGATTTGCACGTCCTCGCGCTTGAGAGAAACAACAGTCCCATCACGGGCCCCATCTGCAGCACGATGCAGGCCGCTTTAGCGAGAGGCACGTGTGGGATGGCTCGAACTTCAAAGCAACACGAAATATAATTCACATTTGCCCCATGTAGCCCTGTGCATGTGCGTCGCAGTGTGCACTGACCCCCCGCCAGTGGCTGGGCCGGCCACATTGCAGTGACTACTGCAACTGCGTGCAAGCAGTGGCTGTACGTAGGACAGTGCTTGGCCCGACTTACATAAATTCTCAAAGCGCTACATATCTACACATACAACATAGCGAGCAGTCTTCGAGAGGGCGGCAGGCAACACGCCATGCTGTTCGCGGTGAGAAGTGCTGCGCCAAAACACCCGACATTCCAGGACGATGGAAATTACACAGTGTGTTCACAAGCAGTTGTTCGCTCCTAGACCTGGGCTGCCTCGTACCCATGCACACGCTACGCTGCGGTGTACCGCGTGCCCCCTCACTCCCCCTCCGCTTGGCGCACGGCCCGCCGCGCCCAGTTGCGCCTGGGCAACTCACCAGCCTTGCTGGTTGCAGGGTGGCGGGCCCACTGCTGACTTGCGTGGACCAGCAGCGCCTGGCGCCGCAGCGGGCCTTGCGGTCGGCCACGTGGGCCGCAGCGATGCTTGCAGTCGCCTGCACCTCACAAGCAGTGGCATTGGCCAGCGCGCACAACTGACCAGGGTGGGCCAGCGGGGTGCGGGCATGGCGCAGGGCGTGGCATGCAGTCTGCCGCACAGCGCTGTCACGAGCACACAGAAAGTTTGCCGCGGCAGGGAAGGGCCGCTCACGAAATTCCTGCTCTCACAGAGTTGCGGGATGCCAGGGACTTGCGCTCACGCCGCTCGAGTGACGTGGAGCCCGCTGCGCTGTGCAGACAGCTGCGCCCATGTCGGGTTGCAACTTGGCACCCGTTCAGACCATGCGTATACCTGGTTTTGCATTCTGTCACATGCACTTACGGTGGACATGAAGCCACAAAGGGCAGCGTGCTGCACCCTGAAAGCACACACTGCGCACACAGCATGACTGGCGCTGTGACTGTGCTGGTCAGCAGATCGCTGCTGCAACTTGTGACAAGGGCTCTTAGATGTCTTTGTGCGCGAGTGGTGGATTGGTCGACTGGTTGCGAACTCCTTTGCGACTAGACCGGTTTACCGCAGTGGGTGACCCACACCAGATGGGCGACCTTGGGAGGGGATGACGTGCTTGGATTGCCTTCACAAAATAGTTGCAACCTTAGATATAACTCAACACGAAGCTTGCACGTGGCCCATAACTCCAATCGCCACAGGCTCGCGCGCTCTGCCATCGCACTTAGCTCGCGGCCCCGTGTAGGGGCGCACCTCGAAGTGGAAGAGGCCATGGGTTCCGTTGGGTGGGCGTCGGCCCCCGCAGAGCTCATCCAGGTGCGCCTCGTGCACGCTTTGCGGCGCGCGCTGCGCTCGCTGCTGGCGTTTCGCGCCGCGCCGCTCCCGCGGGCTCCCCTCGCCCGGCCCGCCATCGAAAACCCAGCTGCTTCCCCACCTACGCCGGCAGCCTGCGAGCCCGCTCCACACGCAACATATGGCTGCCCTGCATCCCTGCCGCCCATCCTCACCCCCTCTCTGCATTCCGACCCCCGCAGGAGCTCGGCCTGTTCCTCGGCACTCGCGAATGGGCCGCCGCGCGCCTGGCGTGCCGACACTGGCGCCGCCACGTCACCGCCAGCGTGCAGCTGCTCGAGCTGGACTTGGAGCGCTCCCCCCACCGCTGGGCGATGGTCGGCAGCAGCGTGCGGCGCCTGTTCCCGCGGCTGCGCTCGGTCACGCTGCTGGTCGGGACGCGCGTCGGCGCAGACGCGTTTGCAGAGCGCATGGCAGAGCTCGCGTTCACCATAGGTGCGCCGCGTGTGCATTAAACCCTGAACCCTGTCTGGACGCAGCCAGGGTTCAGCCTATCTGATCAGCCGGCCCCGACCCGCCATGCTTCCCTCATGTGGTCTCATGTGGTCTTGTGCCGCCGGGGCCTGATCTGATCCTGCCCGCCAGGCTGGCGGCTCCCCGCCTTCCAGACCTGTGGATCTCGGTCGTTGGCAAACGCCCCCAGCCGCCGCCCCTTGCGGCGACCACAGCTGCGGTTTCCTGCAGCGGACACGCAGCGCTCGGCTGGCGAGCATGTAGCCACAACACACTTGACGCCATTCATATGTGGCTGCGACACGACCCTACCGTGTTGCTTGTGCAACTCCGTAATATTTTCCTGCGCAGATCTTGCCGAGCTGGAACTGCGGTACGTGCCGGTGGCGCTGCCGCGGCTGGGGGCGGCGCTGGGTGACATTCGCGGCGTCACCGAGCTGCTGTCACTGAAGGCGCTCAAGCTGTCGGGGGGTCCCACGCCGTCGGTGGAATGCATAAAGGTGGGCCGGGGCCAGGGTTTTGTAGGGAGACGTTTTGGGGGGGGGGCGTGTGCGTCTGTGCGGCGCGGTGGCGGCTGCATGGGGCGGTGGAGTAGCAGGTCGTCTGGAG